TTAGACCATCATGTTGGACCCGCCATGTCTGACGGGGCTGCCCAGCATGTAAGCTTTGACCAAACACTTACTATATGTAAGTCACTGTGCTGGGGCTGTACGGCCTGAAGCTATGAATAAGAAAAGGTGCCTGCCCTGTAAGCAGTCACACTCTAATTTGAGAGGAAGGTATAGACATGTGAAGGCAGACCTTTGTTACAAGGCTCTAAAGGTCAGGATTGAGAACAAGGACTTTAGACCCAGGATGCGTCTCACTGTGTGGCTTGGACAGATTATTTAACCACGCTAAGCCTTGATTTCCCCTGTAGTGAAATGGGAATACGAATAATACTGACCTTATAATATTACACTGTTTATGTATGTCCATATGCCATAGAAAAGGAAGAATGTGTTTTCCAGATGCTTAGAAGAGAGTTGGCCGCTGAGAGCTGGAGTGTTCGGGAAGATTCCATGGTGGAGGCCTTGGTTCCCGTTTCCATGTCAGCCCCTTCCTCTGGCTTCAGGCCCACCTTCCCATAAGTGCTGTCATCAAGGATGCTTCTCAGCCTTCATCTTTGTAACTTTGCTGCAGATTTCAACACTGTGAACCACCTTTCCTTTTTGCAGTTCTCTTTCTTCTGTGATACACGGCAGCCTCTCAGCTTTTGTCTCTTCTCTGCTTTCTTTCCTGCCCCTCAGAAATAAGCACTTCCTGCCAAGCCTCCATCCTCATGACTGTCTTCTGTGTGCTTCCTCCGGAGGGTCTCACCTCCCCCAACCCCTTTATGGTAATGACTTCCAAGTGTGTGTCTCCTGCCCTCTTTCCTGGACTTCATACCCATATTTCTAACCACATCTTATTCTTTCACCAACTATTTATGGACAGTCCACTGTGTGTTAAAGTTGGGCATGGCCTCTGTCCTGTGGAACTTCCACATCAACCAGGGAGACTGTCCCTAAGCGGCCAGTTGTGCCGTTAGTACTTAATTACAATTGTGACAAGGGCTAAAAAGGAGGAGAAAAGTCCAGCTGGGAGGTTGACCCAGTTCTTCAACATGGTCAGGACAGGATCCACTTCAAGGCGAACTCTTGGAGGAGTGGGCAGGGAGTGAAGGAAGAGGACAAGCGGGACTGAGCAGATCCCGGGCAGAGAGTGCTTATGGGCTAAAGTCTGAGTCAGGAAGGAGTGGGAGGGTAGGAAGAGCTGAGAGAAGGGCTGTGTATTAGTGGGCTACAGGGAAGGCCATGGGGGGAGGGGTGCGACATGAGGCTGGAGACAGGGAAGGGCCCTGAAACACAAGCTAAAGATGTAGGTGCACCTCTGCAAGCTTGAAAAGTGTGCGATTACGTTTGTACCCCTGGAAGATCACTCTTGCTGCTGCTATGTGGAGAGAAGGGAGTAAGACTAGAGTTGGTGTCAGGAGGGGACTGTGAGAGTCCAGGTGAGTAATTATTATAGTTTGGGGTAGGTGGTAGGGGTGGGGGGTGGTGGCAGCAGAATTAAAGAGAAACAGCCAGGTTCCAGAGGTAAGATCCAGAGGTAGCAGGTAAGATCTCCAGGATTCACTGGTAGATTTTATGAAGGGGGAGGTCTCAAGGGTGATGATTGGGGTTTTGGCTGGCTCAACCATTCACAGAGCCAGGGAGCACAGGAGGAGGAGCAAGAAGCCAAATGCTGATTGTTCTGCACGGTAGATCTTTGAATGTTGAGTTCATTTCTTGAACATGTGTAGCTCTGTGGAGCCAAGTGGAAAGGTGGAGTAGGAGGGTGAGTATGTGGAGGGAAGACGACTGGAACGGAGACAGACATGCAGAAGTCATCGGTGTAGGAGATGGTCTAGGAAGGGTACAGAGTGAGAAGAGGGCAGGGCTGGGAGACGTCCAACACTTAAAGTTCACCAAGGGAAACTGAGGGCTGGGCAGAAGGCGAGGAAGAAAACCTGGAGTGCAGAGTTCCAGAAGGGGAGGGAAGAGAGTGTCAGCAGGATGGGGAGGGCATCCAAGATAAGCATCACAGGGAGGTCAGTAAGATGAGGGCTGGAAGACCTCCTGTGGATTTAGTGACACACAAGTCACTGGTGACCTTAGTGAGACCCTTCTTGGCAGCATGATGGGACAGAAGTGTGTTAAGGAGTGTGTTGGGGTGAGAAAATGGAGGCAGAGAATGCAAAAGAAATGAGGGATGAGAGCCTACTGACTTTTTTTTTTTTTTTTTTTTTTTTTGAGATGGAGCCTGGTGACACTTTAAAGGGAGATATTTGCACATGCTCATGAGCTGCTAACAAGGATCCAGGAGAAAGGGAAAGTGGATGAGACGGACAGGAGAGACTGGATTAACTAATGGGTGGTTGAGGCTCTCAAGAAGATGTGGGACCCAGAAGACAGCTGCAGGCTGGTCCAGAGAGGAAGGGAGAGCCTCCCTATTGCATCCAGGGAAGAGGGAGAAGGAGGCACGTGCAGATGGAAATAGTTTGATTCTCAGTGGAAAACCGAGGGGGCTTCCAAATGAAGTAAGGCACTTCCTGAGACAGCAGGAAGAATGCGGTGGGGGAAAGAAGGATGAATGTTTGGGGAGAGTTCTGGCTGGAGTGGCCTTGATCAGAGTAGTAAGTTGACTGGAGAATCACAGGGAAGTCCTTAGGAAGTGTGAGGAGCCCACCCGAAGTTGGTGGCCATGAAGGCAGACGGAGATTGGTCTCTAGTGTGATTTTGTCTAGAGAACTTGGCACATAAAAACCAGGTACTGAGTTCATTCAAGGTTGGGCTTTCACTGGGTGAATGTGATAAAAGGCAGCGAGGCAAGGGCATCTTCTGGTTGTCACCTTGATATCCCATGGACGTGTCATTCTCAATATGTCCCAAAATCTGCTCCTCTTTCTAAATTCCCCATCTTGGTTAATAACAATACAATCATCTAATAATGTCTCTAGTAACAGTTATTTATTAAGAACATGATATCAGATATGAAAACAGATATTATTTTTTTAGAGATGAGCACTTGCTATATTGCCCAGGCTTGTCTCTTATTCCTGGGCTCAAGCAATCCTCCCAACTTGGCCTCCCAAAGTGCTGGGATTACACGTGTGAGCCATCGTGCCTGGCCAATACCAGATATTTTAGAAGAATCATCTCATGATCATCCAACAACCTTATGGGGTAAGTATTATTCATTTTACAGATATGGCTCAATGAGGTTATGTAACCAGCTCAAGGTCTCTAGTAAATGGCAGTCAGGATGAAAACTTAGATCCGTGAGGCTACAAAGTCCTTCCCCTTTCCCATGGCCACACCACCTGTAAGTTCTATTGCCTTAACACTGCCTATCTCTGATGTGTTCCTTCCTCCCACCTCCCACACCATGTCAGTTGTCACATTCTATTTGCTCATCTCTGTCCTGTCTCTTGCTACTTCCTGCCATGCCACTCCACCCCATCTGCTTCCCTGGTTGATTCCACCAGAATGTAAACCCCACAAAGGCAGAGATTATTATCAGTCTTGTTTTCTGCTGTCTCTTCGAGGCCTGGAACAACTTAAAGTAACCATTAGTCTCATTAAATAGTTGTTGAATAAATTTGTCTATCGGGAGATAATTCTCTGTGGGGGTCTTGTGTTCCCACCAGTCTTGTGGGCAGAGACACTGATGGCCTTTTTGTTCCCACTATCTTTTGGAGGATGGTTGCATACCAAACAGCCTTGAACGATAGTGTCTCCCTCTGGCAGAGGGCAGTTCTGTTTGCTGTCCAGTAGTCTAGGGCCAATGTTGGGCAAGTTTGCTTGCAGTGCATTATAAAAGACTGGGGCTTCCTAAGCTCGGAGTTCCTCAGTGTGTGTGGTCCAGCCTCATGTCCCTTCCATGGGATTTCAGAGTTAAGGAAAGGTGATCTGAATGTGAGGCTCTTGCAGCCTGCTGTGCCATGAGTAATTAAAGTCCTTGTGTCTGGCCCGGAGTTTCCTGTCTTCTGCTGGCATCCATGAAACTGCGGCAGGTTAACTTAGATAGCAAGTGTAAAATCTCAGACCCTTCAGAATTCTTGACCTTGGCCCTTACCATCTTCCACTTCCTCCCAAAACACCTGCCTCCAATGCCAAAGGTGCCCTTAGTGTTCACTAGAGGAGAGATAATTCATCCAGGCTCCCGTAACAGCCCCCCAAGGCCCTGGCAGGATGGCTCCTGACTCCCTGTCTAACCTCACCTCTCATCACCCCCATCCCTGCTCCAGCTCAGGCAACCTTCCCCTGCGCAGGTTCCTACTCTCTTGCATCTATGCCCTTGTTATGCTGTCCACTCCACAGGGGTCATCCTTCTCCCCTTCTGACTGTCCATCCTTTAGGCCAGGATCCTCCAAGAGACCTACCCAGAGACCAGTCAGAATTTCCCTGCCACTGTACCCCCACTTTACTTATCCTTTTGCTTTGTATTGTGAAGACCTGGGTCAACTCACACTGCCTCTCCAGGAGGTTCCATTCCCTCACCTTGTGATCCTTTGAGCCTCTGTAGCCCCTGGCATACAGTAGGTGCTCAACAGATAAGTGATGTCCTGAAGAGTTGACCTGCACAGGGAACGGCCTTGCGGGATGGTAAGATGGAAGGACGGAGGAGTGGAAAAGGCATCCCGAGGAAAGGGAACAGAAGCATGGAGGTGGAAATGTTTAGGGCAGGGGAAATAACCCCATGGAGTGAGATTGAGTTCATGAAGGAAGGCTGAAACAGGTGAGTCTGAAAAGAAGAAAGCGAGGCCCAGGGCCCAGGAGGGCTTTAACCACTGGGACCCTATTCCCCTCCGAGGGCAAAAGCCCTGGCGAGGGCTCCAGGGTCTGCGTCCCCTGACCAGGGACCTCAAGAGGCTAAGCCGCCTTGCAATTACCTCTCCTGCCTCCCGCCCCCTACCCACCGCCCACCCTCTCTGCCTACGTCGGCCATCAGAGCCTCGCTCGCGGCCCGAGAGCCTCGCATTGACGCGGGCCCGCGCGTGAGTCAAGCCTGCGTCACGGCGCCCCGCCGCCAGGGTGGCCTTTCGGAAAGCGAGGGAACAGTGCGCGCCGCGCTCCGCCCAGCTCCGTTCCGCTCCGCAGAGCCGGCACAACCAGGGCGCAGGGAGGCCGGCACTCGGCCACAGTCTTCGCAGCCCCGCGCACTCCCTCCGACGCGAGACCTGGGTCCCCGCGCGGCTCCCCTGAGCCCCGAGCGCGCAGCGGGCGGGAGCCGGGTTGGGACTGGCGGTGAGGCTAGGAGTGAGGAGCGAGTGGAGTCGCGTGCGCCGGCGCGCAGCTCCGGTCGCCCAAGCCCCAGCCCGGGGCCTGTGGCCCGGGGGAGGAGCTGTGCGTCCGCAACCCGTCGGGGACCGCGGCTGCTCGGCGGGAGTGCACGGGCCGAGTCTGCGCGACTGCCCACGCGTGACAGGTGAGTCGCCGACCGCGCCCCGCCTGGCTTTACCGGGCCGGCCATTGCAACTTTCGCTGTTCTGGCCCCGCCCCAGCCAGGGAGGGCTGAGGACCAAGGTGCGAGGCGGCGCTCTCCCCGCAGCCGCTCGACCCTGTGCCGGTCCCCCGCTCCTCTTGCTGCTCCAGCCGCCGTTGCCTGGCGACGGGGCCCCGGGGCCCGCTCTCCTTCGCGCATCGGGGTGCCCAGAGGCGCACGCACGGGTTGGACACCAGGCTTCAGCTTCTGGTGCTCAAGAGGGCCCAAGAACTCCGGAGGAAATTGGGTTGAGCTGCAGAGGCAAGCGCCTGCGGAGAACCGGGAGGGGGCCTGCTCGGCCCATCCGCGGCTTGAAACTGCGCGCCCAAGGCGCAATTCCACTGGGAGCCTCCTGTGCAGCTGGAGACCCCAGCCCCAGCCGCTCGGCCTCAGGCCTGTGACCTTGACAGTAGCATTGGCAGCGAAGCAGAACGCTAAGCCCGAGATGAATATTTAATTCCCAGTCCTGGGGCTGGTCCTTGCTGGATTGGGAGCTAGCAGAGAGCCATTCCTCCCTTGTGGGAAGCGCATCTGGGGGAACGGAATGGCTGAGATAGGGGACGTGCGTGGGGTGCCCATCTGGAGGGGGCGTCGTCCTGGCTGGGCGAGAGGCCTCTGCTACATTTATACCTGTGTGCGCTGTGCTCTGAAGCGATGATGGATGCTCGCTTTACTACAGAGAGGGCCGATCCCCCAGGGGCGCGGCCGCCTCAGAAAGAAGCGTGATGTTTCCTTTTAAAGGCCAGACAGGCCTGTCAGAAATCAAGTTCAGAAATCCCAAGGCCATTCACCTTACAGGGCCTAGGCCCTGTCAAGTTGGCTTTAGAAAATATTTTTGATCCCATTCCACTTTCCTTTTTTTTTTTTTTTTTTTTTTTAAAAAAAAAAAAAAAAAAAAGAAAGAAAGAAATACTTTAACAGGCCTTTTGGATTTGGAGATTTCTAACCAGAGCTACCTTTGGGGCAATTCATCTGTGAACTTGCAGCAGATGGGGATGAGTTGGGGAGACAGAGAAGTGGTAATGAGAAGGAAGATTCTTTTTCTGGGCACTGTCCTTGTTAACAGGAACTTCAGGAACAAAGACAATCCTGTAATGGCTCCAAAAAAATTCAACCAAAACTTTATTTAGCGCCTAACTGTGACGGCCTTGCTGGCCACGCTGATTGATGTCTGGAGAACAAGGTCAGAGTGTGCTGAGGTTAACAGTGGGGGGTTCTTATGTCTCGTTCTGTGCTACATTATCCCATGGCTCTGTGAGGCAGACCCATCACCTGGGCAGGAAGAGCTTTGAGGTCACACCTGATTGTCCTTGGCCATGGCCCATCCACGGGGACCATCAGAGGCTTTAGCTCCGCTGCCGGATTTTTCTCTAATGGAACATCTGTGGCTAAGTAGGTGGTTGAGTTTCAGCGAATCCCTGCAGCTCAGCCTGGAGGGTGACTCAGTGCAGGAGGCAAATCGTGCCCACCAGCTTTGATTGGAGTGAGTTTGTTTGGCCTGAGTCACTCACAGAGTCGTGTGTCAGCTGATTGTGAGTTGAATGGAGTTCTTTAGCAGGACTCGTGAGCAGGAATGGCCTGAGCCCAAGTGTTTCGGGCAGAGATGGGCAAGTTCTCTGAGGGAGCTAAGCGCAACTTTGGCTGCTGAGCAAGTTTCCTGGAGCTCTGACTCCATGGGAAGGTGAGCAGGGCCAGGCTGGGCTGGGCAGGGAGATGGGGAGAGTTGACGGGGAGGGAGTGGAAATGCTCTGTGATTGTGGTCAGAACTGGGCCCAGTGTTCTGCCATGTGCCGGTGGGGTGACCTTGGGCAAGTCACTTCACCTTGGGAGTCTCAATTTCCTCAGCTGTAAAACTGAGATGCCTATGATATTTTTTCTGCAGGCTTATTTTGAGCCAGGTGTTAGACACAGCAGGTGCTCATCAGATGTTAGTTCCCCAACCCTTCCCTTATGGGCCGTAACCAGAGGCAATTCTTTCTCTCACTGCCTCTGCTCCACCACCATGAAAGGAGATGTGGAGACACATGAAGTTTCGGTGCTTCCCATGTGATCAAGAAGGACCAGTAACTCAGTTTCACATAGGCCTGTTTCCAACCCTCAAGTCTCTCCATGAGACCCTAAATTAGGAAGCCTCATTAAAAGCAGGATTAGTGTTGGGGTAGGGTGGGGTTCAGCTGTGCTGGGTCTGCTGGCTGCCCTTGGCCACCTGCAACAGCTCTGGGGTGAATCCAGGACAGACCTTGACTCCTTTGGGTTGCTTCTGACTGTGGCCTTGTCCCAAGCTGCAGCACGTGCTGGGTGGACTTCAGGGGTCCTTTCTCTTTGTTCAGGTCTTGACATCCTCCTCCCCAGTCATTCTATCCATAATAGAATTGAAAGCTACAAGAGAACTGTTCAGGAGAACTGAGGCTGGCCTCTCCTGGAGAGGAAAAGGGAGGTGTGTGACTCCTGTTTTCCTGAAGGATCCTGGGCCCCTACTTTTCTCCTTCTGTAAAATGTCCAGATTTTGGTGCTGAGCTAAGATGTGTGTGCCTTAAGAGTGAAGGAGATAAGGGGATCCCCACTGCAGCAAGAAAGAAGCCATGCTGGCTCTGGGGACTCCAATCTGCTACTGGAAATGTGTGTGTTTGTGTGTGTGTGTGTGTGTGCGCGCGCGCTCACATGCACATGTGTGTATGCATTGCCATTCATTTTGGAGCCAATGTCCTCCCCATTGGATCTAGGAGCAAATTCCAAGGATGACAGAAACAGATGAGAAGATTCCAGAGAAGCAGTTTCCTCTTGCCTGTGCACCCTCCCTTCCCTTAGACTCCTTTTCTGTCCAGGTTTGCTGCAGCAGGACAATTCATTATTAATCCCTTTAAAGCTGCTAAGATAAGCAGCAGAATAGTTTGAAGGGAATATGGGTTTAAGCTTTTTTTGCTAGAACTAGCTCTGAGTTATCACTCGCTCCCAGGCTGAGCTCTAAGTCCTCACAGCCAAACACTGGAGCACCAGGATGGGAAAACAAAATAAAAAACATGTCACCTCAGCCCCTGACTGATGTTGCGGGCTGCAGAGGTCAGAAGCACAGTGCCATAGGTAGATCTGATTGCTAGAGCACTATCCCAAACTCAAGTGGGACAGTGATCTGTGAGGAAATGCCTACTTTGCATGCTTTTAGGAGGGGCAAGTGCATTCCGGATTCCAGCAGCTCACACTGTACTTGGCACAAATTGATAATATCCAGTTGTTTATTGAGGCTTCTGTGCTGTGCTAAGTGCTTTATTTCCAGACCATCTCATTTAATCTTCACTACAATCCCAGGAGGCAGATATTGCTATCTGCACTTTACAGATTGTAAAATTTAAGGTTCAGAGAGGTTAAATAATTTGCTCGCGGTCACACGGATAGTGAGTGGCAACCAAAGAATTGGAAGTCTGTCAGTCCAAACTTCATGTTCCTAACCTTTATGTGATAGTTTTCTGTAATACATTCTTAATAAATGCTGACAACCTAAGCATTTAAGCAGACATTATCTAGACCTGCGGGTCCAGTTTTTTTAACCTAGTGCCCGGGGAAAAGGGGAAATGGGCCTGCACTAATTGCACATTGGTGGAAAACGAACATAAGCAAACGTCCAAGGTTTGGGGAGTATGGTATTTGGCTCCAGGTGGGTCGAAATCCAGAAAAAGATCCCAGGCTCCATCTTGGTGCTTTTTTGTCCTTTCCTTGCCCTTCTCTTCCTGACCTCTACTGCCCTTGACCTCATTCCCTTAAAATTTGTCCACGCCAGAGGTTCATGTGTGGAGCAGTGAGAGGAGTCAGAGCTGGGTGGATGTTGCCCTGAGAGTTTCTGCATATGCAGAATCAAGGACGGCCACTGGCTGATGGGAGCTTGGTGGGTCAGGTTTCTCTGCTGAAGAGTGTATGCCAGCGATTTGCAGTAGTTTCTGGTGAGTTCCAGACCCCAGAGCAAAACTGCTAACACTTCAAGGTTATTAACAGCAGCTGCTGGCAGGGCTGCTTGGGGGAGGTGCTGCATGCTTCTTCCTAGACTTCCTGATCTTGTCCCATGGAGAGCCCACTTTCTCCTCACTCCAGAGCTTTGCCACACATGTCCTTGGCTACTCTGGGAAACCTGGTACTGATTCCTCCAGCTTCTCTGTCTCTTCTTTTTCTCTGAAGAATGGCCAGCCCCAGAACAGGCCCATGCTGTCCTAGCCTGCCCATCATCTCCAGACCACCTGAGATCTCAGGAAGTTCCTGAAGGTGGATAACTGAATGTAAGTATTAAGGCTCCTCACCCTCAGTGGATGAAGAGGACTTCCCAGAAACCCTTGCTTCATAGGCAGCCATTTTGTGGAGATAAGTCCTTTGATAATTCTCTTTTTCTTCCTCCTCCTCCCATGAGTGAATCTTAAAACATTGCTCATTTATGGGCAAATCCAGTTTTTTTTTAAAAAAATATAGTTAGATATTTAATATGTACAGAAAATTCACATGTAAGAACATAAGCTCAGATGCAATATGAATTACTGTATACACTTATTCTCATATTCAGAACCAGGTATGTTTTGGTAGAGGCTAATTCTGGGTCAGGTGAGTCCTAGGCTGCCTGAGTCCCCATCTACAGAGCTTAGTCCATTCTATGTCCTCTTGTGGAGTGGGACGGAGTCACATATAGAGCCCCAGCTCACAGGCCGTGGGGTCACCTCATTAGCTGCAGTTGTCCTACTGAGCTGCCACTCTCCCTCCCCAAGTGTACCTAGCAGTTTATTTGAAGATAACAAGTTGCCTGTCACTGTACTCCATCATTTCTAATTACTGATTTAGTTAGAATTTCTGCTGGACTCTGCGTACCACTTATTTACCACCTGTTATTTGCTTGCAAGTGGAATTCACTGGTCCACACCCAAAATTCTACCAGCTACGTTTTTCTTTAATTATAAGACTCCTGGGTT